CTTCATGTCCACACTCCCTAGTGATACACATGTAACTACCACCCTGTCCACACTCTATAGAGATACACATGTAACTATCTTCATGTCCACACTCCCTAGTGATACACATGTAACTATCTTCATGTCCACACTCCCTAGAGATACACATGTAACTACCTCCCTGTCCACACTCCCTAGAGATACACATGTAACTACCTCCCTGTCCACACTCTATAGTGATACACATGTAACTACCACACTGTCCACACTCCCTAGAGATACACATGTAACTATCATCATGTCCACACTCCATAGAGATACACATGTAACTACCACACTGTCCACACTCCCTAGAGATACACATGTAACTATCATCATGTCCACACTCCCTAGAGATACACATGTAACTACCTCCCTGTCCACACTCCCTAGAGATACACATGTAACTACCTCCCTGTCCACACTCCATAGTGATACACATGTAACTACCACCCTGTCCACACTCCATAGTGATACACATGTAACTACCACACTGTCCACACTCCCTAGAGATACACATGTAACTATCATCATGTCCACACTCCCTAGAGATACACATGTAACTACCTCCCTGTCCACACTCCATAGAGATACACATGTAACTACCTCCCTGTCCACACTCCATAGTGATACACATGTAACTACCACACTGTCCACACTCCCTAGAGATACACATGTAACTATCATCATGTCCACACTCCATAGAGATACACATGTAACTACCACCCTGTCCACACTCCATAGTGATACACATGTAACTACCACACTGTCCACACTCCCTAGAGATACACATGTAACTATCATCATGTCCACACTCCCTAGAGATACACATGTAACTACCACCCTGTCCACACTCCATAGTGATACACATGTAACTATCTTCATGTCCACACTCCCTAGAGATACACATGTAACTATCATCATGTCCACACTCCATAGAGATACACATGTAACTACCACCCTGTCCACACTCCATAGTGATACACATGTAACTACCACACTGTCCACACTCCCTAGAGATACACATGTAACTATCATCATGTCCACACTCCCTAGAGATACACATGTAACTACCACCCTGTCCACACTCCATAGTGATACACATGTAACTATCTTCATGTCCACACTCCCTAGAGATACACATGTAACTACCTCCCTGTCCACACTCCATAGAGATACACATGTAACTACCTCCCTGTCCACACTCCATAGAGATACACATGTAACTACCACCCTGTCCACACTCCATAGTGATACACATGTAACTACCACACTGTCCACACTCCCTAGAGATACACATGTAACTACCACCCTGTCCACACTCCATAGTGATACACATGTAACTACCACACTGTCCACACTCCCTAGAGATACACATGTAACTATCATCATGTCCACACTCCCTAGAGATACACATGTAACTACCACCCTGTCCACACTCCATAGTGATACACATGTAACTACCTCCCTGTCCACACTCCATAGAGATACACATGTAACTACCACCCTGTCCACACTCCATAGTGATACACATGTACCTACCACACTGTCCACACTCCCTAGAGATACACATGTAACTACCACCCTGTCCACACTCCATAGAGATACACATGTAACTATCATCATGTCCACACTCCCTAGAGATACACATGTAACTACCACCCTGTCCACACTCCATAGTGATACACATGTAACTACCACCCTGTCCACACTCCATAGAGATACACATGTAACTACCTCCCTGTCCACACTCCATAGAGATACACATGTAACTACCACCCTGTCCACACTCCATAGTGATACACATGTAACTACCTCCCTGTCCACACTCCCTAGAGATACACATGTAACTACCTCCCTGTCCACACTCCATAGAGATACACATGTAACTATCTTCATGTCCACACTCCCTAGAGATACACATGTAACTACCACCCTGTCCACACTCCATAGTGATACACATGTAACTACCACACTGTCCACACTCCCTAGAGATACACATGTAACTATCATCATGTCCACACTCCCTAGAGATACACATGTAACTACCACCCTGTCCACACTCCATAGTGATACACATGTAACTACCTCCCTGTCCACACTCCATAGAGATACACATGTAACTACCACCCTGTCCACACTCCATAGAGATACACATGTAACTACCACACTGTCCACACTCCCTAGAGATACACATGTAACTACCTCCCTGTCCACACTCCATAGAGATACACATGTAACTACCTCCCTGTCCACACTCCCTAGAGATGCACATGTAACTACCTCCCTGTCCACACTCCATAGAGATACACATGTAACTACCACCCTGTCCACACTCCATAGAGATACCCATGTAACTACCTCCCTGTCCACACTCCCTAGAGATACACATGTAACTACCACCCTGTCCACACTCCCTAGAGATACACATGTAACTACCTCCCTGTCCACACTCCATAGAGATACACATGTAACTACCACCCTGTCCACACTCCATAGAGATACACATGTAACTACCACCCTGTCCACACTCCCTAGAGATACACATGTAACTACCTCCCTGTCCACACTCCATAGAGATACACATGTAACTACCTCCCTGTCCACACTCCCAAGAGATACACATGTAACTACCTCCCTGTCCACACTCCATAGAGATACACATGTAACTACCACCCTGTCCACTCTCCATAGAGATACCCATGTAACTACCACACTGTCCACACTCCCTAGAGATACACATGTAACTATCTTCATGTCCACACTCCCTAGAGATACACATGTAACTACCTCCCTGTCCACACTCCCTAGAGATACACATGTAACTACCTCCCTGTCCACACTCCATAGAGATACACATGTAACTATCTTCATGTCCACACTCCCTAGAGATACACATGTAACTACCTCCCTGTCCACACTCCATAGAGATACACATGTAACTACCTCCCTGTCCACACTCCATAGAGATACACATGTAACTACCTCCCTGTCCACGCTCCCTAGAGATACACATGTAACTACAACCCTGTCTACACGCTTCTGTCTGTTATGCAACATGATGGCCTTTAGCGTGGTATACAACATATATTTGTAGATAATAAGGGTGAATTTGGCAGTCAGCATTATGCAAACTGCACTGTTGCGTCCTGGAACAGACAAACCAGTGACTGAAAGCATAAGCAACGCTTCACGCCCTCGCCACCCACGGAGCCTGGCACCCCTTACGACCCAACTGCCTTTCTTCACCTGCAAGGATTCGCCGTGGAACTGTTCTTACCAGGGCCCCTAAGTACAGTTTTCCGTAGGATGCATGTCAACAAGTGTATGTTGTAAACTGTAGTTATGCTTGTAAATTCAATTAGTCCAACAGAGGAGCAGGGTTGAGGATAATGTCAAACTGTCAAACTTTCAGTGAAGCTATTATAACGAGGTTCCTGTTGTTTCTATTTTGGTTTTACCGCCGCTTTGTGGTACAGTTATATCACTTGATGTGGGAGAATGCGGCGTGGTCTTTGAAGTTTACCACTCTGGTGAAACCCACCAGCACTGGTGTGATGCTGATACTACAAGGAACACAATCACATACACAGGTTTAGGCACCCCTCAGGGAGCAACTGTACACATTGATTTTGTTTGTTTTTTAGTTTGTTGAATGCCGCATGCAGCAATATTCCACCTATATGACAGCGTCTGTATATAATCGAGTCTGGATAATCCAGTGATTGGCATCATGAGCATCGATCTTTGCAATATGGATACGATGACATGCATCAACCAAGTCAACATGTCTGACCACCCGATCCCGTTAGTCGCCTCTTACGACAAGCATAGTCGCCTTTAACGGCAATGGGTTGTCGAAGCCGTGACATATTCTAACCCGGATCTTCACGGACACCTAGTGCACATTTAATTGCGGCGCGTTTGACGAATGGAAACGACAAGTATCAAGTGAAAACAGTGTTTGAAATGGTCCACGGGATATATTTTTAGCAAATATAAACTCAAAACATCCGAAGCATATATCAGGAAAAGAAATTATATAAATACAGAGATTAACAAACAGCTACAACTAGGATTGAAACGCTAATTTCGTGAAAGCAATCTCAATTCAGATAGTAACTAATCATAGTAAGAATGTTGTTTGTATGCTATCATACTATAGCAACAATGTTACTTGTATGCGATCATAGCAACAATCTTGTTTGTATGCGATCATATCATAGTAACAATGTTACTTGTATGCGATATAGCAACAAGGTTGTTTGTATGCAATCATATCATAGTAACAATGTTACTTGTATGCCATCATATTATGGTAACAATGTTCTTTGTATGCGATCATAGTAACAATGTTACTTGTATGCGATCATAGCAACAATGTTGTTTGTATGCGATCATATCATAGTAACAATGTTACTTGTATGCGATCATAGCAACAATGTTGTTTGTATGCGATCATATTACAGTAACAATGTTACTTGTATGCGATCATATTACGGTAACAATGTTGTTTGTATGCGATCATAATATAGTAAGTGTTACTTATATGCGATCATTTATGGTAACAATGTTGTTTGTACGCTATCATATTATAGTAACAATGTTACTTGTATGCGATCATATTAGGGTAACAATGTTGTTTGTATGCGATCATAGAAACAATGCTGTTTGTATGCGATCATAATATAGTAACAATGTTACTTGTATGTGATCATAGTGACGATGCTACTTGTATGCGATCAAAGTGACGATTTACTTGAATGCGATCATAGTAACATTACTTGTATGCGATTATTTCCTTAGAAACGTAATACATGTACTATCATTCTACACATCATGCCAGCACCTCTCCTTCACAAGCTGTGTATGACTACTGATTCCCTGGCTTTCTGACCTCTTTGCGTGCTTACGAATATCTATGAAACCTCGTCCATGTGAGATGTGATATTGCTTGTCGCTACCCCAGTGTCAGTACTTACAGATAGTTTCTCCCTCCTCCAGCTGACCCAAGTGTCGAGTTGAGGCCACCCGAGTCTATCCCAGTGTCTCCGGCATTCCCAATAACAAAGCTACGTCCGTCAATGTCAATGATCCACACAAAGCATCATTCACGACGCTTGACTTTGTTAAGACTAGTGACAAACAGCTTGGCCAGCAAGCCACTATCTCATTACTGTGTAATGTTAAAAGACAAATCTATTCAAAGTGATATAACTAGGATCATTGCTTCATTATCCCCTTCTTTGATCAAAGTGATACCCCACGCCAGCCAATCACACCTTGCCCTGGCCGCCGGAAAGGTAACGAAGACAACGGGGCACAGTGTGGGGTCAGACAACAGGCGTGTCTTTCTGTCGGGTTAAATCACAGCTCACGCTACATCATTAGGAAGCTTATTTGCACAAAATTGTTGATCTTAAAAAACCTTTCATATCGTGAAATTGTGATTTCCAAGAAACACAAATCCCACTTGCATATGCCAGCACGCCTGGACCAACATGGGTGTCCAGTGTGGGAAGGCGTACCTGACGATGCATACACTCGTGGGAATAGTGGAACAACACTTTATACCGTCGACATAAGAACAGCGAAAATAAGTTAACCGCGCCTTCACCATATTATTGATAGGTGAAAAACTGTTCATACGGAATATGATGTCATCTCTATAACGACTGGCTTGTTTTAGTATTTTGATTAAAACATATTTTATTGACTATCAACAAGATTGGAAAATAGCCCAATACGCTAACTGGATTCTTCCCTTTTCAACAGTACGGAATGACCAAAACTGGTATATCAATGCATGCAACCAACAGTACAGAATGATCAAAACTGGTATATCAATGCATGCAACCAACAGTACAGAATGATCAAAACTGGTATATCAATACATGCAACCAACAGTACAGAATGATCAATATTGGTATAGCAATGCATGCAACCAACAGTACAGAATGATCAAAACTGATATATCAATACATGCAACCAACAGTACAGAATGATCAAAACTGGTATATCAATACATGCAACCAACAGTACAGAATGATCAATACTGGTATAGCAATGCATGCAACCAACAGTACAGAATGATCAAAACTGGTATATCAATACATGCAACCAACAGTACAGAATGATCAAAACTGGTATATCAATACATGCAACCAACAGTACAGAATGATCAAAACTGGTATATCAATGCATGCAACCAACAGTACAGAATGATCAAAACTGGTATAGCAATACATGCAACCAACAGTACAGAATGGTCAAAACTGGTATATCAATGCATGCAACCAACAGTACAGAATGATCAATACTGGTATATCAATGCATGCAACCAACAGTACAGAATGTTCAATACTTGTATAGCAATGCATGCAACCAACAGTACAGAATGCTCAATACTGGTATAGCAATGCACGCAACAACAGTACAGAATGATCAATACTGGTATAGCAATGCATGCAACAAACAGTACAGAATGTTCAATACTTGTATAGCAATGCATGCAACCAACAGTACAGAATGATCAATACTGGTATAGCAATGCATGCAACCAATAGTACAGAATGTTCAATACTTGTATAGCAATGCATGCAACCAACAGTACAGAATGTTCAATACTGGTATAGCAATGCATGCAACAACAGTACAGAATGATCAAAACTGGTATAGCAATGCATGCAACACAGTACATAATGCTCAATACTGGTATATCAATGCATGCAACAACAGTAAAGCATGCTCAATACTGGTATATCAATGCATGCAACCAACAGTACAGAATGCTCAATACTAGTATATCAATGCATGCAACCAACAGTACAGAATGCTCAATACTGGTATATCAATGCATGCAACAACAGTAAAGCATGCTCAATACTGGTATATCAATGCATGCAACAACAGTAAAGCATGCTCAATACTGGTATATCAATGCATGCAACAACAGTAAAGCATGCTCAATACCGGTATATTAATGCATGCAACAACAGTACAGAATGCTCAATACTGGTATATCAATGCATGCAACCAACAGTACAGAATGCTCAATACTGGTATATCAATACATGCAACCAACAGTACAGAATGCTCAATACTAGTATATCAATATGATACATACAAGCAGTAGTATGTACAACAAACATAGAGACAAAGGCATGAATTACTTAAATCTTTTAGTCGACACAATACAATTATGTACAACTTTAAAATTAATTATAGACACTGTCACCTGAGTTTGGATCAATGTGTATGCCACATGTTATAGTAATCTACGGGATATAATGTAATTATGACATTCGAGGAAGTAATGTAAAAGACTTTTCACAATGATAGATATGATTTTCAATAGGATTGCCTTGAATAAGGAAGCTTTAAGATTACTACATGCGTACGCGAGTCTTGTCTGTAAAATATTTGTTTTCCGAACCCAGTCAGTGGTTTATTACTGGTCTCATTTCAGTTTGAATACATTTATAACTAAGTTGGGAACACCTGTAGCATCCCGTGCTGCTTCTAACTGTACCTTTTCTAGTCTATTATTGTATTCTATAGAGAAACCATTCCAGACTTCAGATGTGTGTTTTCAAATAGGACGTAAACACAAAGGCTAATGTTATTGGGCCGTATAAACGTAATCGTTCTCAAATTTCGATGTTTGAGAGCTAAACCTTAATTTACTTTGACATCATTGAATATATTTAAAGCAGTGTCTGCTATCTTACTATGTCAGTCAATATGACGCCAGACGAGTCATTATAAAAAATGACAGAAATTGAAGATTGACAAAAAGATATAACCCAGTCTCTTAAAATAACAACTTTATGTTCTTATATGCTTTTAAAAAAACAGCTATAAAGTGTGCAACCTTACAAACCTTTGGCACAATAATAAAATTATCCTATGGCAGAGGCGGCAAATGTCTTTCCCGTTACAGTGTTAAAATTGTTTCAGATTCAGTAAAAGAAGATTGTTTGATTGGAAAATAAACTTTCAGAATCAAAACAAGTAACGATGTTCAGTTTTAGACGAAAAAGGAAATAATATAGTTGCACAATGTGAAAATTAGACTTCCCATATCAATTCACATATATTTTGTTAGGATATGTAACGCATATATCTGAATGGTGACCAGTTTAAATCTAACACATGTTGTCTTGCATTGTATAACCGCGAACCTTGCCCTTACTTTAACCCCCATGACGTTATGCAGGGGTCAGTTTTAATGCTGGTATAGTGCCAAATTCCAGGACCGTCATGAATGCCATACTTACGAGTCGAGTAACTATTTTGCCCTGAAAACTAATCATTTTGAAAAAGGAGACCATAATTCCCCCCGCTGACAAAGAGAGGTGTCGTGCTCGGCGCTACCCAGCTATGGACGTGATCCGTATGCTTCACAGCATCTGTTACAAGTGTCAGTAGTTCTAACGGTGGCGATGGGTTGATACGATGGATGTCTTTCAGGTAGCTGGGTCGAAACGCACTCAAATAATGCTGAGAGTAGTTAACGTGTATAGCTCGGATGTTGCACACTTGACTGAGTGAGAACGAAGCCGTCCCAAGGCAGATAACGGCCGGGTAGCTCTGCCACCAGATGCGGGTCACTTATACTCAGTTTGCACCTACATTCACCCTGTCTCATGAGTGTGTCTCATGGCTGTGTAGGCCGAATACACAGGTGGCTTAACAGGTTAATGAATATATAAACTCACACACCGTCAGCTGTAGTATGTCTCGAAATGTTACAATAAAACAACTGTCACAAATAGATTTATGGTTTCACAAATCGCCACTCCAGTTCTGTATATTCTGTCCTCGTGTAAAATATCTACATATACACTGATAGGGGGAGCTGTGATGCCCATTAGCTTGTAAAGTGATGCCCGGATGTGCTGAGAGAAGACCATGAAGCATATCAAAATATTGGAACAAATATCTTATTTGTTTGAAAGTTTTATATTCGTCGATTTTCTCGGTCATAACCTGTTTAACGTAACTTATGATGACCATTATAGTGTTCAACCGACCATATCGCCTTGTGTCAGTGAGGGACACGCCTGGGTGGTCGCCGAGACGACTGCACACACCGTGAGACTAGGCAGAGAGAGGACTGTAGATAATGACTGTCCCATGTACCTGTATCAAGCGTCGTATGGTCGTATGGGGCTGCCTTACACAAACAATACACCCGGGGAGTGCACACTTAGTAAATGAGGATATTGATCGATGTTGACTTCAATATCTCTGACACGATTTTCTGTTTTGAACATCAAACATCACAGCAATTTAGACGAAGCAACATAACCATATCACTGAAAGGATTTTAATACGAAATTCGTTTAAACGTTACTATTAGTTGGTAATGGTTTGAATCGACAGTCTCATTATCACACCGAAATAAGCGTCCATATTCTGGAATAAAGACACTAAGAAATCCATGTTTATCTCTAGGTCTAACTCGTTTACTTGCAGTCGTTCGTGACATGACATGAAGATGAGAACAGTGATGAGACTCGCGGAACAGTGACGCGGACCACAACGACGCCTTATCTCTAATGTAGTGAACACATGGGAAACATTCATGAAGCTAATTTGTTAGTCGATATTGTAAGAATGTTTGTACAGTTCTGTCCATTGTCTGTACATCTACTCACACTGTGCGTCCACGAGCAAGCAGAAACATTCAGCACACTCGCATGGGGTCGACACCTGACGCTCGAGATTGTCCGTTATCATTGCATATTACAGTTACTTCTTGCTTGGAACCTATTGCCGTACGGTGATATCATATCGTGAAGACAGATCCGAGGTCTAAATGACGTTTTATAAGATGAGAATAGTCACGCGAAGTACTCACCGCTTTAGAGATTTTCCCCGCAGCCACAGCAAACACTGCAGGAGATAATACATCTCCCGAGCCAACTACAACCCTGCCTACCAACGGCAGCCGCTGTGATTGTTAAGAGCGACACAGTCATCAAATCGACCCGTCGTGCCCCTCCCTTTTTTCAATCACAAATGTGTGTAACTGTGCTAAAGTTTGTTGAATGACTAGAGCTGCGAATGACAAGCTTGGCAGAAGAACATAAACTATCATTACCACTAACAGTAATCGAAATGGCCCTTAGATGTCTAAGGATGGAAAAAAAATCCGCGAATGAACCCAACGTCATGCCACACACGCACACTGACTCTATTTACCCTGTATTGTCTG